TATAATTTAAAATATTTTTTATTTAATTTTTTATAATACAACCGAAAGTGACAACCGGTAAACACTTTACAAGTAGAAATTAATACTTTTTAAAAAAAAAATAACTTTAAAAAATCAACCAAAAAAGGCAAAACAAAGCAAAAAGGAAAGAATAGAATACTTTCATGTTCCATCAGCATCCATGAATCCAGTCCCCCTTCATCATCCTTCCTTAGTCCCCCAATTTCCCCCATATTTTTTTCATTTCAATTCTCCTCCTTAATTTACTCTAGGGTTTTACGTCAGAATATTCCAAACCCAGATCAAAATCCCATACCCCGCATAAATATCCTAATTCCCTTCAATCCCACTCCAGTTGATCTACATTCATTGTCAATGTTGCGTTGCTGAACCATTTGATTCAGTTTCTTACAATCTTTCCTGCAATCTCGGAAATCTTGCCTCGTCAGCTTCTCCTTGTCTTTTGCAATGGCTGCGCCGAGGAATGTGTCGAGAGACGAAGAGAGCGCGGCGGCCAATAGCAGCAAGGAGGACGATGATTATTCCCGCACAGGTAAGCGGTTCAAATCCGACAAGTTTCCGCTTAGCAGATGGGAATTCGCTGCGTTTTCTGGGGTTTTCGTGATCTTCTCTGCCGGCTTGTTCTGCATCTACCTCACCATGCCTGTTGCAGAGTACGGGAAGCTTAAGTTGCCCCGCACCGTATCTGATCTCCGTTTGCTCAAGTAAGGATCTTTTTTTTTTTTTTCTTTTTTAGTGTCAGTTTTTACTCAATTTTTGCTGCTGCTTCTTGTAGTTTTTGTTTGAATATTGGGTTATGGAAGTTTTATGGTTGAACCCAAACAAATTCTGAATCTTTTGGTTTTAGAGGCATATGTTTGTGAAGTTTTGGACAGTCAAGTCAAAGTCTGGTTGAGCTCTTGAGAGGCTTGGAGATGGTCTATTTGTCATGGAATTGAACTTCAAATATCGGAAGGGTGTTCATAAGGGTCTTCATTTTATACACAAACCTAGTGTACTATATATATCCGGTCTATGGGAAGGATTCCTCAATTTGGAGACCAGAACAGTTATTTTCATAGGTAGTTGATGGCTGCATTCCTATAATAGCATATCGACCATTGGTTGTTAATAAGTGGGTGTTAGCTTAACTGTAGTGATTTGCCAGTGGATCTTGTGAATATTCTGAAGAATGATTTGATTATATCAGAGAGCCTATTGGGATCAGAGGGTTCCGTTTCTTATTTTAGTTGTATTTGATTCTGAGGAGTCCTGTGCAGCTGTGATTAGTTATTTGATTTCACTTTTGAGTTTTACCAATTTTCTGTAGTTATATGCCCTGCACTTTGGTCTAATAAAAGCTTTCTTGTTTCCTTACTGTTTTGTACAACCTTACTCACGTACCTTGGTTGCTAGCAATTAGATTTTGCAGTTGAAATTTGGATTCTTTCTTTTTGTTTGTAACTTTGTTGGCAAGTTGCCTTTTCTGAACCATATTTTTATCATTTTTCTTCAGAAACAATCTCACAATGTATGCAAACAACTACCCAGCACAATTCATCCTGGGTTACTGCTCAACTTACATCTTTATGCAGACATTTATGATTCCAGGAACAATTTTCATGTCTTTGCTAGCTGGAGCTCTCTTTGGTGTTGTTAGAGGCCTTTTCTTAGTTGTCTTCAATGCCACAGCTGGGGCATCCTCCTGCTTTTTTTTGTCGAAGTTAATTGGCAGGCCCTTGGTTAGTTGGTTGTGGCCTGAAAAGCTAAAATTTTTTCAGGCAGAGGTACTTGTTTCCTTTGTGCCTCTTGGTTAGTTGGTAGCATCTATGCATGTCTTTTCTTCCATTCTTTATGTTACTAATTAGATGATTTTGTGGAATCAGATTGCAAAGCGCAGGGACAAGCTGCTGAATTATATGCTCTTTTTGAGAATAACTCCAACTTTACCCAACCTCTTTATCAATTTGGCATCTCCAATTGTTGACATACCGTTTCACGTTTTCTTTTTGGCAACTTTCATTGGTCTTATACCAGCCTCCTATATAACTGTCAGAGTAAGTGTCTGCATCATTTCCTTAATTAACATCTTGTTTTGGCTCATAAAAAGATTATTATCTTTTGATCAAGTGTTACAGCTGTGGTCTTGGTGGATATGGTCATCTGAATGGTTTTCTTACAATATATTCCAATTCAATCCAAGTTTTAAGATTACTGAATGCTGTACCTGTATGTTTGATGCTTAGAAAATTACAAGCATTAAATGAGGGGACATGGACAATGTCAGATTGTTTTTTTCTCATGTTTGTGAATACAATGTCTTTAATCTGATGGGTGGAAATTGTGCCATTTCTTATATATGGTTTGATATTTGTTCACAAATAATACCAGAAAAAGTAAAACAGGGACTGTCTAGCTAAACAAAAAGGAAAGTTTAGGTGATAGAGCAGGGAGCTCTGAATCATGTTTTCACAATTGGGGGATTTGTTAAGAGTTGCAGGGTAAATTATATGGCTTCTAAATGACTCAGCGAAAGGAATGATTAGTGTGTGTTTGATGTTATGCTACCTTTGTCTTAGTCACGTGGGTCACATGGGTCACATGGGTGTGCTTGAGTCAAATGCCTCACATCCTGAGGCCATTGGATGAAATGCCAGTTTGCAGGAAATAAAAATGAATTGGGATCCCATGTTGTCTTGGGAGTACTATATTTTATTGGATTTGTCATTTGTCAAGGTAAGGTGATAACTGGCAATTATGTGTCAACTGTTTGGTTAGTGGTGTTCACTTTTATTAT